TTGGGTCAGGCGCACCTTAGTCCTCAAGCTGACATCTCTGCTCTTCAATACTTTAAAAAGTTCCTGTGCAGCAGATTTGCCCAATGCAATACGTCGTCTATGAGAAGCACCAAAACTAGCAACTAAAATACCTAAAAGAAACTACCTAAGTGTATATATGACGTTATTGATTGGGGAGTCCTAGTGTGGCGCTGTGGGTTAATGCGCCAGACTGCAAAGGCGTTTGAACTGCAAAGTTGGTGGTTGAAGCCCTCCAGCTGCTCCTCGGAAACCCTATACAAGATCACTATGGGTCGGAACTGACTTGATGGCACTTAACAACACTATAAATTGGGCTGCTAACCACAGGATAGCAGTTTGACTCTACCAGCTGCTCCACAGGAGAAAGATGAGGCTTTCTGCTCCCATAAAGATTTATAGCTTCAGAAATCCTTTATAGGATCACTATGCGTCAGAACTGATTCCTCAGCACCCAACCAGCCACCATCATTCCCTTGATAGTGACAATTTTAAGGAGTTTTATCTGTTAATCATTGCTTTCTTTAATCATTAAAAAGGAAATTAATTGGTAATATCTTAGTAGCAGGAATCTTGGTGTGGCACTATATAATAAGCACATGACCGCAAGGTGAGCAGTTCTAGCTCACCAGTCGCTCCTTGGAAACCCTATACAGGGTCACTATGAGTAGGAACTGACTCGACTATGCTTAACATCTTGGTAGCATACATTATGAAGGTAAGAAAATATGCAGTGGTAAGTTAGATTAAATAAGTTTACATTGTTACATGAACCATGACAGTGTTTCTTCTTTCGTATGACTCAGCATCTAAGTGAGATGCCTTCCTGTTTATGGCTTACAGTGACAAAATGAAGGAAACAATAAATGAGGGAATAGAAACAATTAAACCACTTTTAGCTTACTATCATGGGCAGGAGTTCTCACAAAAGGACTGCTACCTACTAGGTCAGTGGTTCAAACCCACCAGCCACTCCTTGAAAACCCTATACAGGGTCGCAATGAGTCAGAACTGACTCCATGGCACGTAACAATTTTTAATATCTTGTGTTTTTTACTTTGACTCTTAAGTTTTTCTAGTAGACTAACTTTGCTTACTTAACTACTTGGTGAAATTCCTACTCCAATGGACTCCTAGAGTTTTTGGTGGAGTTGGCTTCGACTCATAGCCACCCTATGTAGAATTTCCAAGGCCATGTCTACAGGAGCAGAAAGCCTCATCATCTAGTCTGCAGAGCAGCTGGTGTATTCCAACTGCTGACTCTGTGATCAGCAGCCCAACTCATACCCCACTATGCCACCAGGTCTCTCTTCAAAGTAAGATAACTCCTCTTAATCTCCATTTATAATCTAGGAAACTAAGGGTTAGCAGGATTAAGTCACTTGTGTAAGACCCACTCAATTTGAGTAGCCCCATAGGAGCTTGCCCACTAGGTCTGTGTGACTCGGTATTAAGCATTGCACTATATACATTACAGTCATGGGAATACACAAGGGATGTCCTGGCTTCTTCTGCTTTATGTTACTTCTTTAGAATATTAGAATACAGTCAACACCCAAGAGGTACATGAGTTTTCTATGGTATATGGTCCAGATCACCACCTTCTCCAAGCAGCAAATGTAATTAAAATGCATTAGGCACCTAGTTAACCTGTAAAACCATTGATAGCTCCCCTCCCAGGGCAGGTTTCTGTTGGCATTTAGAGAGCAGCATGTGCTCAAAATGGAAAGCAGCTGAGCACTTAGCCGCCGTGCCACCAGGACTCTTTCATGACTTGAAAAGAAGCATGTGAAAGGACATTTAGAACCACAGATGAGAGACTTCCTCATTACACTTCAACACCTAAAATGCTAAAGTAAGAATTTAATGTCCTTTTAGCATAATAAATAATGTAGCTAAGAGCTTTATGAATTAATAGTCAACAAAGCATTGGTAACATATGGTTAAATAATAGATTTGTTGTTTAAATTTCTTGATTTAATTTAACTTTTCCTAGCCAGACAGAAGCAGCGTGTTCTCTAAAGTAGAAGCAGGCATGTAATTGCTGGGACACAGTGATGGAGAGAGCCAGGTAAAATGGCTTGATTGAGTTTGCTCCTGGATCTGCCACCTAATGGTTGTGTCACATTTGATAAATCACTTAATTTCTCTAAGCTTCAGTTTCTTCATCTATAAAATAGGGCTAATAATAAGACCTAATTAGGATATTGATGTAAGAATTCAATAAAGTTATATACAGAAAGCTCTCAGCTTATTGCCTTGCCTTGAAATAACATTTCAGCAGAAGTTGTTAGATGCCAGCGAGGCAGTTCTGATCCATAGTAACCCTATGTGTAACAGAAAAAAACACCCGGCCGGTCCTGCACTGTACTCACAATCGCTGCTAGGCTTGAGTCCATTGCTGCTGCTACTGTGCCAATCCATCTCATGGGGGTCTCCCTCTTTTTCACTAACCCTCCATTTTACCAAGTATGATATCCTTCTCCAGGGACTGGTCCCTCCTAATATGTCCAAAGTAAGAGAGATGAAGTCTGGCCATCTTGGCTTCTAAAGAGCATTCTGATTGTACTTCCTTCAACACAGATTTGTTTGTTGTTTTGACAGTCCATAGCACCTTTAATATTCTCTAACACATTAACTCAAATGCATTAATTCTTCTATGGTCCTCCTTATTCACCATCCAACTTTCATATGAAATTATTAAAAATACTATGGCTTGAGTCAAGTGGACCTTAGTCCTCAAACTGACACCTTTGCTCTTGAACACTTAGAAGAGGTGTTACACAATAGATCATTTGATTTCTTGACTGCTGTGCATGGGGTCGCTATGAGTCGGTTCCGACTCGATGGCACCTGACAACAACAACAACAACAACAACTTCTATGAATGTTAATGGTGCGGTAGACCCAAGCAAAATGAAGTCTTTGACAACTTCAATCTTCTCTCCATTAATATAGATGTAATTTATTGGTCCAGGGGTGAGGATTTTTGTTTTCTTTACACTGAGGTACAAACCATACTATGGTCTTTGATCTTCATTAGTATTTTAAGTCCTCTTCACTTTCCCTTTCATCAAGCAAGGTTGTGTCGTCTGAATATTGCAGGTTGTTAATGAGTCTTCCTCTAACCCTGATGCCATGTTCTTCTTCATATAATCCAGTTTCTCGGATTATTTCCTCAGCATATAGATTGAATAAGTATGGTGAAAGAATACAACCCTGTTGCTTACCTTTCCTGATTTAAAACTATTCAGTGTTCCCTTGTGCTGTTCAAAAGACTGCCTGTTGGTTTGTGTACAGGTTCCTCATGAGTACACTTAAGTGTTCCGTTATGCTCATTCTCTGCAATGTCGTCCACAGCTTGTCACGATCCACACAGGTGACAGCCATTGCATAGTCAATAAAGCACAGCTAGACATCTTTCTGGTATTCTCTGTTTTCAGCCAAAATCCATCTGACGTCAGTAATGTCCTTGTCTGAATCCAGCTTGAACCTCTGGCAGGTCCCTGTCAATGTACTCTTGCAGTCATTTTTTAATTATCTTGAGCAAAATTTTACTTCTATTAATGATACTGTCCTGTTATTTCTGCATTCTGTTAGATCACCTCTCTTTTTAATGGGCACAAATATAGATCTCTTCCAATCAGTTGGCCAGATTC